AGTCGAAATTTCTAAAGTTTCTGTAGCAAATAGTGGAGTGGCCTCTGCTAGATGAGCCTACAGATAGTTTTCGAAAGGCGTAAATGAGACTGTGATCGCTTATACTCACGTGAGAGACACCAGAGCAAACAACTTTATCAGGAGCGTTTGTAAAAATGTGATCAATTAGTGTAGAAGAATGACTTGTAATCCGAGTCGGTTCATTTATCAATTGAGAAAGATTGTATAATTCAGCAGTATCCATGAGCAATCTTGAACTATGATCCAAGACACTAGAGCTCAAATCACAGTTCAAGTCACCCAATAGATAATACTCGATATTTTCGGCGTCAATTATCTCTAATAGAGATTCAAACAAATGAAATTTAGCCAGAGTCGAATTTGGTGGTCTGTACCAGGTTGCTACGAGAAAAGGCTTGGATTTAGGTTTGTTGATTAAAATGCACAAATTTTCCAATTGATCAAATGACAAGTCGTGGCGAACTGAAAAATTAATACAGCTGCGAATATAAAAACAAACACCTCCCCCATATCTACCGTTTGTGTTTCTATCCCGACGAACAATTTCATAGCCATTTATGTGCACTTCATTATCACTAACCATAGAATCAAGCCTTGTCTCATTAATGGCCAATACATCAATCATGTTATCAGTTAGATAGACTCTCAACTCATCGATATGCTTAACTAAGCTAGTAATATTAAGTGATGCAAGTTTAAAGCCACTCATTTTAGGTAAATGCAGGTTTAGACTTTTAGAACTAGTAGTTTGCGAAGATTGCGTATTAATTACTGAAGCATCAGCTCTAAACGACACGGTATCATGTCAATTACTATCTGAGGTATGGATGAGATCATGGATCGGAAGGCGAAGGCAGTTTGACATTTACGACCAACTTCTGGTGGAACTCCGAAGCGAGGATACGCGATGTTTCAAGAACTTTATGCGGATGGTCCCCGAGATGTTTGATGAGCTTCTGGCAAGAGTGAGTCCCAGGATCACCAAGAAACATACCTGGTATAGGCGACCCCTGGAGCCTGGGCTGAAGCTCTCTTTGACTTTGCGACACCTTGCCTCTGGGAGCACGTATTCAGCCATGAAGTACGGATGGAGGGTCCCCCACAACACCCAGTCACTTATTGTCAGAGAGGTTTGCCAAGCCATCATCGACGAATACATGTCCGAAGTAATGACCTGCCCTACCACGCCAGAGGGATGGCGTGCCATGTCTGATAAGTTCCTCAAGTGGAGGAACTTCCCCCATACATGTGGTGCTATAGATGGAAAGCACATTGCCTGCAAGTGTCCACCAAAAAGTGGATCCCAATATTTCAACTACAAGGGATTCTACTCTGTTGTACTCATGGGCCTTGTAGACGCAGATTATAAATTCATCTGGGCAGACCTCGGTGGTAAAGGGTCATCATCGGACGCACAGATCTACAACAACTCTGAAATCAAAGAATTAACAGAAGACGGAATTATAGGATTCCCCGTCCCCGATGCTTTACCAAATGACTATCAGAGTGTCCCCTACTTCTTTGTAGGTGACGATGCCTTTGCCCTCCGAGAGACAATGATGAAGCCATACAGCCGCCGTGGTCTACACCATGAAGAGAGGATATTTAACTACAGGATTTCCCGCGCCAGAAGAGTAGTTGAAAACGCTTTCGGCATCCTGACGAATCGTTTCCAGGTTCTGTTAACTACAATGCAGCATCACCCTGCTACAGTGAAGCTCATCGTTAAAGCTTGTATTGTCCTGCACAATCTCATGAGGATACGCTACCCTGAATTACAGAACCAGCATCTAAGACCATGCAGAGAACATGAACAACAACTTCATTCCTGGATCATGGAGACAAGACAGAAATTTGCTCGACACACATACAGTTGTTGGGAGAAACACATCCACCAACAAAGGAAAGGGGCTAAGGAATCTGTTGAAGCACTGGGTCAACTCAGAGGCAGGTGCAGTTCCATGGCAAGACAGAATGATTTAGATCAAATTATTGTAAACGAAACTAAACCACAACAAAACTTTTTGTAGATGTCGAAACACATGTTAATTATATAGTCACTCCAAGATTAATACTGCAAGATTTTAGAATATATACAATGTTGTCCTTTAGACAAGGGTGTAAATGCAGTGTGTATTATGAAATTATGAGAAACAAAAAATGAGAATTTAATTTTGACATGTCGATTATCGTGAGAGTTACTACAGTAACAAAATAGTCAATACTTCTTTCACGTTGGTGGTCGAAGGTTGAGAACCTCATCCTGAAATCCAATATCATCAGTGGATTCCATGATGTCTCGAAATCCTGAAAGACTAGTAATGTTCGGGTGACTTTGCTCAAAGGCTGAGCTTGGACTGTGCGGCGTTGGGCTAGACGTTTCCGTTATTAACTCTGTTGCAGAAGCCAAAGAGGCACGAACCGGGCCAGAGGTAGGAGTGCATTGTTGCTGAGTTTGCTGAAACGGTTGCTGAGCAAGTTGTTGGGAAGGAGGAATCATCTGCTGTTGTTTAGTGGTAGTCTTGTGATGATGTGGATACTGAAATAACCGCTGGTGAAACTGCTGCATGTACTCCATGGGCTGAGAGCCTCTCCCCAACGATGCCAGAGGCATGTTTATAGGCATGTTGCTACGTTTCTGATAATGCTCAGAGAAGGATGGTGCTGATGCTCTAAATGAACAGAAGGGAATACTTGTAGTGGGGTGCAAATCGTGGGGTGGTTGAGAAGGGATCCCTTGTTGATAGATGGAGCCGCCATTGCACTTGGAAATTCATCCTCGCTGTCCTCATCCATGAGTTCAGACAATAACCTATTGATGGAGGACCTTGCCTTCTTGTACTTGGACTTCGACATAGTCAAAAGGCTCTCTTTAACATAATTTGCAAAGACACTTCGTGCTGTAATGGGCTATTGTTTGGCTTTGTAGATGTCTTTGAGGATGGTGCCAGACGACACCGCGGAAATTGGTATAGACTTAGCCGCAATTCTCAATACTTAGACTTCAAACTTGGTGAGAAAAAACATTTATTAATATTCAAGAAAATATGTCTTGCACAAAAGATTTGAAGCTTGCACACGGTAAAAACGAATCGTCTGAATTAATAACCTTGTGTATACTTTAAGCCTCAAAATGGCCATTTCACAGCGGTCAGATGTGTATGATGAGCTGTCAAAAGATTGCAGAATGCGTATTCAAAGAAAAATTGAACTTTTTTAAGATATTCAAAAGGTTTCTCTTTGATAGCGGTACAGAAATGCACAATTGTGAACCAGGGATTAGATTTTCGGGTTGAATCGTCTTAAAACACCAATTTCTGCGGTGTCGTGCCAGACTCAGCAACTCTCTTCTGTAGAGTCTCAAGGACGTCACTCTCTGTGTCCTGAGGTCGCTTGTGGGACCTTCCAGCGGTAGATGATGGTATTGGAGTGACTTCATCTAAGACATCCTGCATATCAGCGCAGGCGCTCTCGGCAGCATTAAGATCTCCTCTGTGAAGCTGGATGGTTTCCTTCACCTAGAAAGACCAAAAATATCATGTGGAAATTGTCTCAAATTACTTGGTCATCATGTTGCTAAGGTAATATGGCTGTCTACTTACACTCTGCATGGGCTCCGGTCGGTGGCGAGTGACAGTCTTCAGGAAGGCAAACCTTGAGAGAATCCACTGTTCTCTCTCAGTCAGGTTTGGAGCACTATCCCTGCTTTTCTTCTTGTCAAGGCGCGTATGGGTGTCGCGCAACGATCTGAACCAGCCCTTGAGGATGTCAATGTTCAGTCTTGTTCATCTGATGTGCTTGCTCTTCCCAGATCTTCTCTTTCTTGTCTTTCCGCCTATAATCTGTCATCTTCACATTCCACAGCACAGGATTGTCCATGATAAACTCCAGCATCAGCTCCTCTTCTGTGGCGCTGAGGTTGTAGGGGTTTTTCTTCGCCCTCTTCCTCTTATTTTTCTCCTTGCTATCAGCCCGCTGGAAGGAGGTGAAGTCATCAATGGTTTCAGATGATAAAGCCTATGAATTATGGGAGTCTTGGGAAGGTTGTGTTGGGGACTTTGAGAGCTCAGGAACATGTCGCGCATTATTTAAAGATGTCTCAGGAATAAGTGCATCATCATCAGTTGGTTCAACTACATCTGCAGGTGCACAAACACGTTGTTCGTCAGCTTTGGCAACGGCTGATGATGGAGTCCTCTTTCCTTTTCTTCGTCCGCGGGTAGATGATGTCTTTTTATTTGCCATGGTGTCTTCTTCTTTTTTCACTGTAGGTTTGACATTTTCTCGAATGGAGCCGTGTGAAAATACTGCCGCTTATATACGATTAAAAGTCTGTGAAACGCCAGTGGTATACTTGACATGCGCATTCCAAACGCTTCTCGTAAGCTATTCATACGCTGGCATACGCCAGCGACAGGCTACTCATACGATACTCATACGTTTAATAAGTTAATTTTATGCAAAATGTCCTATTTTTACGGACTTTTTCGTGCGCATAAAAATGAATGAAACGATCTTTATACGCGACTCATACGTTCCTATCATACGCAACAGTGTGACAGGGCCTTAAAAAAGGCACTGCTAAAAACTTAAAAATTTGGTTGAAACGCAGGGTTCTCGAGAATGATTTTTTGTAACTTCTTGTTAAATATTTCGAAATCTTTTGAATATTATAAAAAGTAAAAGCAATTTATTTATTTATTCTTAATATTTAAAAAATGCTGCCTATCAGCACTCCACTAGACTAGTAGCCTGTGCACTGACGTAATTTATGAGGGAGCGTTGCGTCTGTGCACAGGCTAGTTGATTAGTGAAAATGAGGTAGATCTCCATATTTTCACGAGACGCAAATCCAAGTGAAAACGCTTTTTACGTGTTTATATCACTTTAAAAAGCTTATAATTGATAAACCATACAACATCCTTTATATAATAGTATTATAAGAATTATTATCCTGACAGTTTGTGTCTCTTGTTTAGGGGATTGTGAAGTTGATATTTGAAGACAACAATGGATCCATTGAAAGCCAAAGCTAATTATTCCAGGGTATGTCATTTGTTAGTAGATAAAGGTGGAGATGTTTTGAGAAATGCTTTGCATGCGGTGCATCCACCTTCCACCTTCGCTTCCATATTGAATGCAAACAAGAAGACCTTACAGAGAATACGATACAGTGTAATTAAAGCCTCTCAATGGGATCTACTCTTCCCAAAATCTGGTACACCAGATTCAAAAAACTTTGATATTACCCTATTGACTGTCCTGCTCCGAAACATTTGTGGAATGTCTGCACCAGCCACCGGATGGAATGTGATGCCTCCAGTCAGCGATACTTCAATATCTGCAAATATTTTAAGAGTCAAAATGTTTAGAAATGAAGTCTATGGTCATATTCCAACTGCTGGTTTGGACGACGTAACGTTTGAAACATTGTGGCAAGAAATTTCTGTTCCGTTAGTCAGCTTGGGAATTCCTCAAAATGATATTGATGAATTAAAGGTGGCTCCTCTTAGCCCTGAAGAAGAAAGTTACATTGAAAGATTGAAAGAGTGGAAACAACAAGAGGATGATTTTATGTTAAAATTAAACGATGTTGAAAGTGAAGTAGTGAAACTAAGAAAGACAGTTGAAAATGTTCATTCCTCGCGTGTCGAGGAACTGGCTAAATTTAACTTCACTGGAGAGATTCGTGACCTTTGTAGAAAATTTCAAGATGGCACCAGAAAGTGGTTGTTTGATAAACTTTCAAATTGGTTTGAGAGTGAAGAATCCAGGGTCTTGATCCTAACTGCAGGTCCAGGTGTTGGGAAAAGCGTTTTGTCTGCAAAGCTTTAAAAAATAAGGACTTACTGCAAAAGTGGCACTTACATTAGCAGATGCATGGCTTTTTGCAAGCAGGATGGAATATTAAACGCATGGCAGGATTCTTCTTTCCTGGTTAAATATTGCTTTCCATGAGACTGTAAAAAATCATATGTAGTGTAGCGCATCTTCTTTCCATCACTTTACAAATTTCCGACATCCAACTCTGAGATGATAAACCAACATAATTTCTTTGCCTCAGGACAGATGGGTTACTTCTCCTTGCAATCTCAATGAGCTCATTGTTGGCCACACTGAGAACTTGTGTTAATATGGTTTCAACTGTCTCTCCTGGAAAGACACCCTATAAATAACATGACATAATACAGTCAAGTTTTTTATTCAAAGTATGTCTAAATACTCTTATACAGAGCAACAAGATATTTCTTATGTTTTAAAATAAATATTTATATATGAGATCTTCGTTATCTTTCTGAATTTTGTATGCATGAATGCACTGTGTATGTACTATGTAGTACGTATGCCATTGCGCAAAAATGCCAAAATATTTAACCACAATACTGGTAATATAATTGAATACCAATATTATGATTGAGCATTTAAATTTTTGAAGAATATCACATGTATTTATTTACTGGAACTGGAATTTCAGCTGTAGTTTCGTCTGCCAAACTTAAACCATGATATTCTTTCATTATTCACATCATTACATGGCTTGCATCATTTCTCCAGGGGAAACCGCGTCAAAATAGTGCAAGCTATGGTCATGCATGAATCGGGTTATATCTATGTCTGCCAAACTGAAAGATGGTGAAATTTCTAGGCAATGCTTGGCACGGATATTTTCCGTTAATGTTTTCTGGGTTTCTTTTATAATTCTCTTAATTCTACCGCGTTTTTAAGCCTTCTCTCACATGGCGCACATATTCGATGAGGAAGTTCGCTATCTTGCGGCAACTTTTCACCGAGAATAATCTCCGCGTTTCGAAGAATTGTTTCGCACTGCTTTCGATAAAGATTCGTGCTGTGTTTCGGATTTTACAATTACAAAGCTTACAACGCGAAATGCTGGCCGTCGATCCTTTTATTTTATAGAGCTTTTTTGGCGTCTCTTTACTAGCCATCAACCCGTTTGAACTTAAACGCATGTTCAAATCTGTAATTTGATTACTAAATGTGATTTGATACATTGTGTCCCCCCAAACAGGATTGGATCATTTAGCGTTTACAGTAAATGCAAGCAATGTCGAGGTAAAGTCGCGAAATATTGTAATGAAACTTTTAGGATATTTCACAATTTTTCACACACGCTCCTTTCCCACCCCACCCTAGATAATATTTTAATTTTCCCCCAGTTTTTGGAGAAAATGATAATCACGTGACCAGCGGTAACCAGGGTCTTCGCCGCAGCGTGGGCCGTGGAGCGTAGCTTAAAGACCCTGGGTACGAGGTTGCACAGGCTAGTTGATTAGTGAAAATTAGATAGATCTCCATATTTTCACGAGACGCAAATCGAAGTGAAAATGCTTTTTATTTGTTTATATCACTTTAAAAAAGCTTATAATTGATAATACCTTTGTATAACAACAGTATTATCAAAATTATCATCCTCACAGTGTGTCTCTGGTTCTAGGATTGTGAAGTTAATATCTAAAGATAACAATGGATTCATTAAAAGCCAAAGCTAATTATTCCAGGGTATGTCATTTGTTGGTAGATAAAGGTGGAGATGTTTTGAGAAATGCTTTGCATGCGGTGCATCCACCTTCCACTTTAGCTTCCGTATTGAATGCCAACAGAGCGACCTTGCAGAGAATACGATACAGTGTAATTAAAGCCTCGCAATGGGATCTACTCTTCCCAAGATCTGGTACACCAGATTCCAACAACTTTGATATTACCCTGTTGACTGTCCTGCTCCGAAATATTTGTGGATTGTCCGCACCAGCCACCGGATGGAATGTGGAGCCTCCAGTCAGCGATACTTCTATATCTGCAAATATTGTAAGAGTCAAAATGTTCAGAAATGAAGTCTATGGTCATATTCCGACTGCTGGTTTGGACGACCTAACGTTTGAAACATTGTGGCAAAAAATTTCTGTTCCGTTAGTCAACTTGGGAATTCCTCAAAATGATATTGATGAATTAAAGGTGGCTCCTCTTAGCCCTGAAGAAGAAAGTTATATTGAAAGATTGAAAGAGTGGAAACAACAAGAGGATGATTTCATCTCAAAATTAAACGATGTTGAAAGTAAAGTAGTCAAACTAACTAAGAAAGTTGAAGATGTTCATCCCTCGCCTGTCGAGCAACTGGCTAAATTTAACTTTGCTGGAAAGATTCGTGACCTTTGTAGAAAATTTCAAGATGGCACCAGAAAGTGGTTGTTTGATAAACTTTCAAATTGGTTTGGGAGTAAAGAATCCAGGGTCTTGATCCTAACTGCAGGTCCAGGTGTTGGAAAAAGTGTTTTGTCTGCAAAGCTTTGCGAGCTTTTTAGAGAACGTGGTCAACACGCAGCTCACCATTTCTGTGACTTTCGAAATTCTGATTCCAGCAATCCTCAGAGAATCCTTCAGTCTCTTGCCAGTCAAATGTGTGATAATGTTGAAGGATTTCGTGATAAACTAACTGAAATTCTTCGTCGTGAACATTCTCGTGACTCGCTTTCAGACGCATTTCGTGTTCTTTTGAACGACCCGCTTCATGCCCTTGACAGACACGATCCAATGTTGATCATCGTTGATGCTTTGGACGAGAGCAAAACTGACAAGAAAAGCGAATTTTTGGAGTTGATATCAGAGAGATTTTGTGAAATGCCAGATTGGATTAAGATATTCATTTCCAGTCGACCAGAGCTACAAGTACGAAAGACTCTTGAACATCTTCACCCATGGGAAATCCGTCCTGAAGACAGAGATCACAACCACGACATAGAGCTTTTTGTTCGTCATAGTTTACCTAATCTTGATGATAATAGTATAAGGTCAGTTGTTTCAAAGTGTGAGAGATCGTTTTTGTACGCTTATTACTTGGTCAGTGAATTGAAAGAAAAGGGCGTGGGAATTGAACCCGACCTAAGTAATTACATCTCCAACGGTATTTCTGGATATTACGGAAAGCAGTTCAAACGTTTACAAATAGGCCTCAAACCTTTCAAGCAAGATACCTCATGTTTCTTAAAACGTTTCATCAATGTCGTTGCCGTTTCTAAGCAGCCCCTGCCAATAAAAGTTCTCTTCACATGCATGGGTCTCTCTAAAGACGAATTTAAAATACGTAAAGCGGTTCTTGACCTAATGTCAGAGATTCTTCCAGTTTACGATGGGTGTCTGACTGTTTATCATAAGTCATTATGGGATTGGCTGACATTGAACGGTTACGAAGAACATGCATTCGTGGCAGATGTTGAAGACGGCAATAGACGTCTCTGGCGTGCTTGTAAGAAACAATTCTGCAAGATAGATGCTCTGAAGTCTGTTTTAGAATTCCAAATTTCACCTGAGAGTAGGTACGCTTTAGAAAATGGTCTGAAATATTTGGTCGATACTAGCGAGGTAGATGAATTTCATTGGTTGGTGCATGTTGGTATAAACTTCTTGAAACTAAAATTTTTTAATGAGTTGAGCGGGGGTTTTTTAAGGCGAATTTTTGGCACCTACCGTTCTAAACTTTCCAAAGATATTTATTGGGGCCTCATTCAAAACGTTTTTTTATCCGAAATGGTAGAAATTGGAATATTTAAAACTTCTGGAAAACATAATTGTTACGTATATTTGCAAGCACTTGCTAATGGGCACTTTGATTTTTTACAAGGTGCCGTGAATTACAAAAGTGTAGCTAGGGATATCTTGGGTGCGACAAATGAGATTTGGATAGAATTTGTGACAACTGGAAGCAATTCTAATTTAAGCATTGTCCTCGAAGCTGTGGTTCCAGACAATTCACTTTCTGATTTTATTGTGTCACCCGACAACACGATGCTTGCTTGCGTTCATCTCGGAGACGAGAAAGTTCAAATGCTTAAAATACCAGATCTTACAACTATCTTTGAGGCACAAATTTCGATAGGACCTCGTTACCGATTCTGTGCCTTTTCTCCAGACTCTTCATATATTTTATGTAATTCAATCCGGTTCTGCATCAATATTAAAGAAATGAAAGAGTTCCCCTTCATTACGCACGGCCCCGATGACATCAGTTACTGTTCATTTTCTTCATGTGGAATGAAACTTGTCACATTAGAGAAAACGTCAATCAAAGTGTGGGATGTAAAAGGGAAGAATTTATTGGTTGAAGTTGGGATTGTGTATGGTAGGAGGTTGTATTGTTTGTTTAGTAATTGTAACTCGTACATTCTTCTTTGGCCAATGGGTCAGGAAAGATTTGGTTTCCCAATCTTAGATTACATGAACATCTTGAATTCTGAAACTTTAGAAAAGATTGATAACAAGTATATTCGTGTTGACCAGAATTTGTGTAGCAATGATTCCTTTCAAATGTTTTCCCCGCCTCATTCGTTTTCCGACTTGAATGTTAAAATGAAAATGAATTATATTTGTTTGCCATCTGGTCAGATAGTTCTTATTTCTAATAAATATTGTTCAAAAGTCTTTTTGTGGAAAAAAAGAAAGTGTGTAGCATTCGTAAATGATTTGAAAAATGATTTAGCTTTGGTAGTGTACGATTTCATAAATCAAAAGATCGTTGACGTGCTTAAGATTGGATTTTTGCCTTGTGATACTGGTGTCACTTACATTTCGAAATTAAATGGGACGAGTTACCTTTTATCTTTAGAATTTCCCAAAGTGCTCAGTGTTTTATCCTTCAAATCGCTTCTCGAATGGCCTGATGCTACTTTTGTTGACAATGCCGAAATAGATTGTCGTGCACTCTCTCCAGACACCTTGTATGTTGCGTGCTGTTTTGAGAATTGCCTTCTTTCAATAAGAAGTGTCGAGAGTGGGGAAACATTGCAAACTGTTGCACTGAAACAACGAGCATTAGCATGTTGGTGGTCAGAGTCGTATCTTTGGTTGGTCTTTGAAGGTCTGGTT